ATCAGCAAGTGAGGTAGCCACTTGAACGTAGCGATGGGGTTCCAGCCAAACTGGAACAGGAAGGTACGAAATATTTTGCGGCCGTGGTCGGTGGTCGGCCGCAGTTCTTGTTTTGCTCACTGTTAATTGATTATAGCTCGTATCCAACGCAGAGGCCGCAACCCCCGACAGCCCACCAAAACCAAAGCAGCCAAGAGCCCTTCCTGCCAGCCATTCCACTTGGACTCCCTTCATTCTGTTCCCGTGCGTTTAGTTTTGTTCGTTGCCCCTCACCCATACCCGTCCTACGTCTTGCTGTAAATCTGTAATGAGCCACAGTTTATGCCGATTCCACCTTCTAGTCTTCCCTCGCTTATCCGCCACAAATTACCCAATGGCGCATTAAATACCTACTTTATTCTTACGCGATGAATAATTCTTCCATCGCTTCAAACAAGCGTAGAACATTATAATGTAAATTTTTTTGTATTAATACTATTTCCAATGCCAATTTGATTTGAAGTAGAAAATGGAAAATTGAAAATTGATTTTTCAATTTGTAAATATTTGTAAAATCCAATAAAAAATAAATTCAATAAAATATAAAATTTTATTTTATAATATATGCTGTTTATACATAAATATTATTGATAAAAGAATTTTATTGAAGCAATACATTCGATATAAATTTTAAATTAAACAAATTATTTTACCACCATAAAATTGTGAGACGGTCGAAAATTAATATTACATTTAATAAGATGTTATATAATTACGGTTTTTTAAAGCAGATCATTCCCTAGAATACAGATTTGCAATGTTCAGCGAGCTTAAAACGCTGGAAGGCATCCGAAACGATCAAAAAGTTATCGATCACGGTAACCTTCCACGCTGACCGCCGTCTACCTGTTTCGGACACGTCAAAGCACGGACATGGAGCCGGCTGTCTTCTCGTTTGTTTCAAATTCTCGTCACTCATTTTTCATACGTTTACGCTGCCGACGCCGACGCCGTCGCGCCGCCGCAGGTTCCTCTCGATACTAAAAGAATGAGAGAAAGAGAAAAAGAGCGAGAAGGAAGACGAAGGAAAGAATGGGGAAAGATGGAGAAGAGTGAAAAGAGAGGAGAGGAAGAAGTTGAGAACGGAACGAAGAGGGGTAATCGTTCTCTTCTCCACGCTGTTCGAAATAGTGGTTCTTTCCGCCCTTTGTTCTTCCTCGCAAGTTTTCTTCCTTCAGACGCGGGAGGAAACAAAAGACAAATTACAGAGACGCCCGTCATGTGACCCTTCCCACCTGTCTATAAACGACCTGGTCCAGTCCAGAGAAAACGAGAGCACACCGAAGGCGGAAAATCTGTGATCCGGACGACTTGGTCGCATGTGTAAACTACTTCTCGATTGAAGATCTACTTTTTCCTTTTACCTTTGATAATCGTATTTTGCTAGAACATATTTCTTTATCGCTCGTTATCGTTCAATGAGGATGTCTACGAATTAATCATAAGTGTAATGGAGTAATGCAAAAATTAAGGAAGAAGCGGAGAGCGTGAGAATTTTATCAGCTGTTCGTAAATATTCGAGTGTAATAAAGACGAAAAAAATGAAAGAGACTCGAGCAAATGGAAAGCAAAATTGAATAATTGCATTATTTTCTACAGTTATTGTTTTTATGACAAAAAATAGTTTTTTTTTTTAAGTCAGAGCAATAGAAATAGCAATAAAAGCTACCAATATTGTTTATTTTATAAACAGCATTAATAGCTTTTATTACTATTGTTTTTTTATTACTATTGTTTTTAAAGATAAATGTAAAAAAAACATTGTACAAAAATTGAAATATTAAAAATATTATTCCATATAAAAATTATGTACCTTTGATATAAAAGTAATATCTATTATATTAAATAATAAAAAATGATTACAATTGATATCTATAATTTAATTATCTACAACTAAAACCTAATCTCAAATAAAAAAAATTGGAATATTGGAACTAGAAATATAGTACGCGAGAATATAAAAAACAATATACAATAATAAGCGGAACGTTAATAAAATGCTATTGTTTCGGAAATGTTGTTAAGCTTTGTTTCATCAAAGCTTGCGTTGAGATTAACACATGCTTTTAAAAAAAGTGATAGAAAAACATGGCATAACTTGCGAAGTTATGTTTCATCAAAAGGTTACATTTTAGAGTGTAAACTCATACCAACTTCCTCTTACTGATGAGAACGCGCGAAGCGACGGTTGTCAGTTTTGTCACGGACATCAGCATCTGTTTCAACGACGATTGACGAACTATTACATAAATTACATTATAACAAAGCTGTTATTTTAATATCATTTTTCACATTTTTCCTTTAACTTCCTTATTATTTCACTATTTTTTCATTAAAACAGAAAAATAGAACGTATTGTGTAAATTACAAAATAAAATTATGACTAAATCGTAGAAAGAATGACTTGTTAATTATTTATTATTAATTACAATTATTCTGTAATATTTAGTAATTGCTAATATTTTGTAATACTTTATGATATTTAATTTTTTATCCTGCAATAATTTTTTACATTGTTGGTAATAATTAGAAAAAACATAGAATTAACTTTTAAATAATTAAGAACATTGATGCTCAAATTTGAATAAAACCTACAGTAACAAAAAACATAATAAGTCTTGTGTAAAATATTTATGGCTATAAATTTATTTTACATAGCTGTGTAGCAACCGGATGAACCCATAGACAAACCTAACAGCGTGATATACGAAAATACAGATTCTATTTTCGTACTCTATCTTTCTCACCTCGCACACGATCCTGTCAGGTCACGCTCTTCATTTTGACTATGCCTTGACAGTTCGTCATCCTCTACATCATCTCGCAAGAACAAGAAGCTTGCTAGCAATGTCGACATTTTCGTCCGGAAAAAGTCGTTGTCGTTACAAAGCAGTAACGCTTGTCACTAAGTTAAATTAGCAAAGAGTGGTGTGACATGGTTATTTTACTTATAAATACTAGCAACAATATTTGATTATTATCAACAAGATATCTAACATTCTATAAAATCTCTGTGCACAAAAAGTACTGTATAATCTGAAGACTTATTTGTGTCTATTAATACTTAAGTATAAGATACAAATAATTTTTTTGTAATAATTTAAAATATTATAAAAATATTTATACAAGCTCTTTAAAAAGATATTCTACCTCTTGTTATATTATATATATATATATTTTTTTTTATTTAGTAAACGGTTTAATTTATTATATCAGGTAGTTATTTGCCATCCAAATATTGCTCCGTATTCATCCCCGGATTGAATTAAACTCCTGAAACGATTGAACAGATACAGGGCGTGGAGTGGAGTTTGATCGACAGTTTCGTCCAACCAATCGCAAGACCGAAATGCTGATGAGGCCCACGTCAATCATGCGATACTTTCATCTCGCCACCATCGCCCTCACCCTATGGAAACTCCACGTGCAGGATTTGCTAGGTTCAAAGCTTACTACATCTTCAGTCTACACCTTTCTCCCTCATCCCTGAGTGTCTTTTCTCTTTTCCATTCTTCCTCTCCCTTTCTGACCGTCTCTATCACGTACCCTCTCCGATCTTCTCCAATCGCTATACCTTCCTCTTTTTACCTTTCGTTTTCTCCACGTCTCTTTTCTTCTATCTCGTTCGATTATTCTCTTTCTCTTTCTTCTTTAACCCCTGACGACTCATCCTACTGTCGAACCACCCCTCAGCCACCCTACATCCGCTCGCACGCTATGGGGTAGTTTAGCATCTCGGCCCTACGAAACGAACCATCCTCTCCCTCGCTGCCCCCTTTACTCCAAACTGCGTCACGCCGTATCGGTTTTTTCTTCTCTCATGATACGGCGATGCGTAAAAAAGTGTAACATCCCTGATTTTTGATAAAAAAAAAAGTATCTTGACATCCAGGTGGTCAGTATCATCGATAGAATAAAATACAATATTAGCATAAAATATTTGTTTTGTATTGTTGATGTCCGCCAATGTGTTTCTTGCACTTTTAAATGATAGACAGAAAATCCAAAATAGTCAGAAAGTAATATATTGGAAAAAGTTTTTCTAAACGTTCAAAATATACGTTGCTCCTAGAGAATTTGCCAAGACACGTCTTGTTAAACAACACAAGCTCGGCAAGCCATCAAGTTTGATTGAAATATTACTCCTCGGGGCATGCAGCGAATTCTGTAATTACGATAGGCGGCTATTAATAATTGTTTACAGTTGGGTGGAAATTACTCTTACGCCACATGCCTCAACAAAGTACCGTGAGATACTTGGTCGCTACTTTCTAGACCAAATCTGCTCGAATAAACCGTGATATGCTTCCTTATACCATCCCTTCGTCTCCTCCCTCTCATGTTTTCACGTCCTCTCGATCCTGTGTGGCATTCCACTTGTTATCGCGGAACAAGTTTCTTATCCGATAACAATTAGGAGGTGTTTCACATCGACACGGAATAGTGCTGGTGGGAAACTTGCCCAAAAGTTTCTAAGGAGCCCAGTAACTCGCCGGAACAACACCAGAATGGTCCTTTTCGCCACGCGGGAATCTTCGCTTATGCATTGTTAAGGATGTCGTGTCGTCATCCCTTCCTCCTTTCTCCCTATCTCTCTCTCTTCCTCTCTATAGTCTAGGTTGCTTAAATGATCATTAATTAGGATACCATTTACTTCCAATAACAGACAAAAAGAGAGCATCGCTGCGATAAAGACAAAGCGAGTATCGGAGCGCGAAAACTTCATCGTGCTGCAAGAAATAAAATCGAAAATTAAAATGAATGATTTGCATAACGAGTTTCTTGATAAAATCTTTATGATATTTGTAAAAATATCTAAATACATGATATCTTACCCTCAATGCAAGAATAAATTATCACAGATATAATTGAATTGATCTTACATTAAAGAAAATCCACGTTATGATATTTCGAATTTATTGTTATTTGTAAAAATTGAAAAGAGGATTCTTGTTTTACAGAGAACGGTCTACCAAGAAGATTACGAACAGCTTATACAAATACGCAACTTCTCGAGCTAGAAAAAGAGTTTCATTTCAATAAATATCTTTGTCGACCGCGAAGGATAGAGATCGCAGCTTCATTGGATCTTACGGAAAGACAGGTAATAACTTTAATTAAGTAATATTATAATAATCATTACATCATTTCTCCATTTTTAATACGTTACAATTATTTTAAAATATTTTTATGTTGGCTTTATTTAAAAGTGTTACAAAAAACATCTTTCTTTTTTTTGCACGATCGTTGATGCATTATATCCATCGTCTATATTTAATAATTAAAACGTAAATCATTATATAAATATCGCTATCTTCCTCTCAGGTAAAAGTTTGGTTTCAAAATCGACGAATGAAACACAAGCGGCAAACACTTAGCAAGGAAGACGGAGACGAGAAGGATGGTTCCACTTCGGACGGCATGGAAAAGCCTAAGAGTGACAAAATGTTATCAGTTGATAACGATGAAAAGAAGAGTTGTCATAACTGTGATATTTCGGGTGTGGGCGATGTCGGAAGCACTCTTACTGGCGACGTTACCGATTTAGGTTCTTCCGGTCGAAGAAACAGTAACAACAATAACACTCCTGGTGCTACTAACAACAATAACAACAACAACAGTAACCCAGGCTTTAACACGAATAGCAACGGTGCCAGCAGCGTCGGTAGTACTAACAGTGTGTCCAGCTCGTTCGAAAAGATGATAGTGGACGACGATTCGAGGTCGCAGGATGGAAGTGAAGTGACATCGCCGAGCGTGACGAAAAAATTGTCAGGTGAAGTGAGAGTGAAGGTTGAGAGTGGTCACAAAAGTCCGAACACAGCGAAGCAACAACAGATCTCAGTGAGCAAGAAATCGCCATCGGCCAGCACGAAGGACATGTGTTCGGTGACAAGCAACGGTGTGCTATTAGCTATGCCGGACTCGACGGTCAGTACGCCGGTACTACCGGGTCAGAATTCCACGAGGAGCCTAACTCCGTCCTCGACACCCGGTACTCCCGTTTCCGTCCAACTTCAACAAGGTAGCCCCCTCGGTATCCAGCAAGCGGCTCACACAGCTTACATGCAGAGACCGCGAAGCTCACCGTCCTCCACGACGTCCTTGCCAGGCCCAATGTTGCACGCCCCTACAAATCCGGGAACGATGTCGCCGCACGGTGGCCGAAACATCTCGAACAGCCAGCAAGCACATTTCCAACAGCAAGGCGTATATCAGCCCACGCCGACCATCGATTATCGAAACGGTGTACCCGCCAATAGACAAAGTATACCCACGGCGTCGCAACAGACCCAGTCGCAAAATAGTTACTGCACCAGAGATTCGTATCAACAACCAAGAATCTCTTATCCAAGCGAGGTGAATTCTCTATACGTTAGACAAAATCAAGCGGTGGGTTCGAGAATAGCGCATCACGTGAGAGCAACGGGCACAGCGTCGAGATCAATGTACGGCGCCAACATGCAGTTTCATCAGCAACAGTTGCAGTACGGTAGTACCGGAGAGTATAACGGATATCCTCAAGCTGGACCACCTTATCACGCTTATCACAGAGGTATGCAAGGTACCAATGCGTACAATTCCGGTCAGGGATACTCGGCGACGCAGAACGAACAGAGTACCGACGGCTACATGACGCCTGGAAATTACGGTTATTCAACCGGCAGCAATTATCATGCAACCGGCGAGAATCTAGCGACACACGGACACGCTGCTGTATCCGCGCAAACCGGACAGCATTATTTCAATGATATCCAACAACAACAACAACACCCACAACAACATACCGCCGAGGGCTACGTCACGCATCAGCCGCCAATGCACCCAAGTTCCGGCGACTACCGACCCGGGAACAAGTGTCATCCGGGCGCGTATTATGAGCAGACCGCCGGTCAGCTGCACGTTCATCAGGGAGGCGAGGCCTCCAGCATCCCAAATAGTTACGTATCGTCGCCCGATCCGTTTCCGGCGCCCGGAATGACGACAACCGCGACGGCGATCGCAGCTGCTACCGCAGCAGTTATTACGCCACCCGGAAGCGCCGGCCAGGCTGACGGTAACAACGAATCTTATGGCAATTATGGGAATTTCTACGGCGAGCCGGTACACACCGCCGCGGCGCCGCCGCCATCCGCCGACAACAGCAATAGCTCGTCCGATTTCAACTTCCTCAGCAATCTAGCGAACGACTTCGCGCCCGAATATTACCAGCTCAGCTGAGTCCACGAGACCGAGAATCCTTGCCAGCTGGATTGGGGAGACGAGCAATGTCTACTCAACGCTTTATATTGAAGCTAACACATCTACGTGATTTGTATATACTTCAACATTTCGTAATTTAACTTTGCGCGTAAATGGAAATAGTGTAAAAATAAAATGGGGACAAAAAATACTATTAACGGTGCGTGTGTCTATATAAATAGATCTATATAAATAAATCTATTATCCGACCTAAGTTGTCGAATATCCTCTAGTTTGAAGTGACTGTTCCCGTGAGTTGTGTCGAAATTACTTTCAAGACTGGCTGCATTCAATCAAGACACTTGGACTGATTTATGGAATGGTTGTACATAATAAAACCTGAAATATTTAAATTAACTTCAATAACTGCAAGCATATCTGAAGTAATAATCTGGATTACCAGAAAAATTGTTGACTGTTTTAAAATGCAAGCCAATCAGCCGATATCATTATGCATCCGAGTGTAATATCAATTTCAATGTTACTTTCCATGGACAATATGTAATTGTACCAATTTACATTCCAAACATTAAAGGATGTTTCGGAAATATACAACAGTAACAACGAGTGCAATGGTTGTGTTAATTTTTAATTGGAATGATGTTAACAGAGAATTCCGGTATTTCACAGAATTTTTTAAACTGTGTGTTACAAAGTGACATTTATATCACCATCTTTTGCGAAACACGCTTAATCGCAGAAGATGAAAAGTGATTTGTGAGTGATATTAGACTGATATACACGAGCTGTGGTTTACAAATGAAGAATGTTGTAAATATATCAAAGATTTACCGTTACGGAAATTCGATGGAATTTCAATTCAACGGTCCAATTCTCGTGAAAGGAAACACGAGGTGTAAGTGCAATCTTCTTGGCGCAAACGGTCTCTATATTAGTGCATCGTTAGAGTGTTCGAAAACTAGATTGTATAGATAACTGAAGCCATGTTCCTTTTGTTTTCATTAACTTAAGTCACCTGCACAAAGTATATATTTTGATTGGAACATTTACCTTATTTGATAATCTCGAACAAGAATCTGACGAAGTTTTCAAATTACACATCCCACAAATGTTTCATTTTCACGTGATAGTCAATGAGATAACAGATTATATTTGATTTAAAACGATAAAATGAGGCCTGAGACTGTAGGTGCATGTGAGCAATAATTAACAATGAAACTATGTACATATATATCATACGAAGAATAGATTAATGGAACACAAATGAATAAGAAAATCGCATTTATACACAGTCATGATTATTATATCGAATATACAACTTCTGAAAAGTGAAATAGGTACAATCCGTTAGTTTTAATTAAACGCAGGAAATAGATGTCTCTCTCTCTCTCTCTCTCTCTCTCTCTCTCTCTCTTTCTCTTATAAAAAGAAATTAATGTCCTCCAATTGAATATGGAGAATAGTTAAAAATCAGTTATTTGACCACTATTGCGGAAAGAGACAAATGCACTTGTAAAAATGTTGCGCTATTCGTTTTGAGAAAAAATGAAACAAGCTTTAAAATTAATTCGAATTGATATGATTATTATTCTGTGTCGTGGATAATGTCATTTAAATAAAAATGAACGTTGAGCAATACTTTGAATGGTAATCCACACTTTCTATGGGAAATGTATTTATTATGAGCTCACTATATAGTATAAATATTGGTTGCATTATCATTTTTTCACAAATTTTCGCATTTTTTTTCAAACGCTCTACTAACTAGCGCTACTTTAAGTGAACCAAATAAATTATTGTCTCACAGTAGGTAATATAAAAATAAATGTAGATAGGGACATAATTTTAATTTTCACCTCGCGACAACATATTTAATACGCAGCTCTTTTTGTATAAAACATTAGATGCCGTCATTGTTCATATAAAGACTTTCATGTACATATGCGCGTACGATAACCGTATATATTGTTTATTCATTCTGACTACATAATTGTGTTGCAAGTGAGCCCTCAACACGGTAAACGAAGTTGTCACACATGTACATTCACTCACCGATACATTTGACAAATACAGATCATAGTGAAAAGTAATGAGAGTGTTTTTATTTTCTCTAATAAGTCATTTCTTTTTTGCTATTTTAGTCACTTAATTAAAAAGTGCTAACGTGAACCATGTGAAGTATGAAAACATCGTATAAGTCAACGAATGATATGAAAAATCATAATTTTAACGAACGGAGTGACCATGAACGGGGGCGTAAATTTTGATCGTAGATGGCGCGATTTGCTCATGCCGACGATGAAAGTGACGATGATAGATGACCCAAAATATCGGAGCAATCGAACTGAAATATTATTCTTAGCAGCATCCTTACACCATGTCAACTTCATATCCTATTCAGAGATTAACGCGTCATTTGTTATACTAGAGAAATTTCTTCACGCGTAAATTGATTTATCATACTCGTATAAAACTAAAGAAAAAAATAAACATTAATTTATTAAGTCTCATCCCGTGATAAAAAAAATCATATTATCAGAAAAGAATTTATTATTGTTAGAGTAGCGAAAAAATAATAGTGTCATAATAATTGTGAGAATCGTGAATTGCGACGTTTTGTACAAAATCACAACTTTGACGAAAGAAACTCAAATCGAGAGCCTCGCGCGTTGGTAGGACGGACGGCTGTGTCAGTGAAGAGACTGACAATGATGGATGACTACGCGTGATGCGTGTGAGTCAAGCCCATACGACGCCATAGCTCCGAGCTCATATGTGACCTCCGGTTCGAGCGAACCGAACTGTTGCTATCGTTGCATCTGTGCAGAACACCCTCCCGAAACACGATCCCCGATCAACGATCCTCCCCACATCGGCTAATTTCTCCAAGCTATTAACTTTTTCTCCGGCCAACGAGACCTTATGAAGAAAAAAAAAAATAAGAGTCGGAAGACTAGAAAATTGCGTTTTGCAACCTCCATTCCGTTTTATTTTTTTTTGTGCGCCACTTCCGATTTTCGGATACATAGTATTTCGCAATGCACGGTGTAGTATGACGTAACAATTTGGTAAACATCGAACTATTTATCGTCGTCGTATAGAACATCTCAATAAAATTTACATTCAAACATTTCTACAATATAATTTTATCATCGATTATGCGGTGATATCGTGGTCATATCGAGGGTGGATTTTGAAGCTGCAGGGTCAAGGGTTACCAGCCCCGAGTCGTGCGATGCTTGCCCTTTCAGCCCAACCGTCGCGACCATAAATCTTACGATCGTCAAGGGACGACTCATTCACGCCACTTTGCTTTCCATTCGATATCCGCTGAGCAGAAAACGCATGGATTTCTACGACTTTCACCTTGATCATTCAGAGTACACGATACTGTTCGAACTACGTAAAACGCACTTTTGTAACGGCGCTCGGCTATGATTCGTTAATTTTCGCAATATTGTTTTGTGAATATTTAATTTAAGTCACAAATATTCCTCGATTAAAAGTGATTTATTAACGCATCGTACACGCGCAGATTTCCAGAATTACCGCAATTGATTTCATTTAATCGATTCGTGCTATATTCTTGAGACAAAGAACGTAAATCGAAAGAAAAGCAGCAAGATACGAGTGGAAAGCAGCAAGATACGAGTAGCCGGCACAACGATTCTTATTTTCTTTTTCTTCCGGGGTGCACGAGAGAGAAATGTCGTTAACGCTTAAATGTTAATAAATGTAGATAGGGAATAGGGGGTCCTGTATATCAGACAGGTAGACGCTCACCTGAGCGCCCGGTGACTAAGTGAAGAAGGTAAGAAAGTGCTGCAACGCTGGCGGCTGCTTTTGAGGCTTGGTTTGTCATGGTTCGCATGATAGATGGAGGAAGCGGGAGCTTCGGTTCTCCAGTGTATATATATATGTGTGTGTGTGTGTGTGTGTGTGTGTATGGTGTTGAGTTTTAACCACGGAGACACCTTACGATCATCCCGTCCGTTAACTCGTTCGCCTACCGCAAATAGAATCTTACACGCCTTGCGTGTTTCTATTGCCGCCAATGAAGAAACTGTGAAATTTATTTCCGACCGATTCCTCTGATTCTAATGTCTTCCTCGCGAATTAAAAGTTAATAATAAGCTTCTAATCTAACTTTCCACGTAAACCGCAATTTTGGTCCATCAGAAAAGACGAAAACAGATTTCCATGAGAAGCCTTCTCATTCGCGACGTTACTCATAGTTAGCAATAATTCTACGATGACTACGATATGACGATATATGACGAGAAGGTCACAATGTGCGAAGGTCTTTTATTGCATTACAGTTGAAGATATGCGCCGTATCTTGAAGAATAATGAAACCTGCAGCGAGGAAATTAATAAACGTAAGTAGTAAACGTTAGTAAAAGTTGCTGAGTAAGTCGAATATAACTTCTTGTACATTAGCGCGACCTTATAACTGTTCTCATTATGTTTTCCATTATTACTACCGAGTAATTTTAATATTGAGTTTAGTAATACATAAAATATAATATTAATTAAATATTTTCAATTTCATGTAAATAGACTTACACGCTTCTTAAATATTAAATAATTTTCGAATTAATTATTGATTTTCGTTTTATTAAGCTAAACTTAAAAATGTGTAATTTGATATTTTAAATGATATGAAAGTTATTGCATAAGTTTATTGCAGGAAAAATATTTTGAATGAAAATTGTTTAGTTAAATTAAGAAATATATATTGTAGGAAGCAATCTCTCTCTCTCTCTCTCTCTCTCTCTCTCTCTCTCTATATCGACATTTTGATGTTTTGAAAAAGACACTACGAACATATGCGATAATTGCTGTGACGAATTGACTCACATCACGCCACAGAGAGAAATCAAATTATAATAATTACATCAGACCTGAACATGACATAATTCAATTAACTTTATTAATTGCGCTACGTATGACGTAATGTCAAATTTAGATTTTACAATATCTGATTTTTAGTAACACAAATAACTTCCTTGAGTGAAACAAGACAACATTCTAACATTTAGCAACAAAAATAATGTTTAGATTAATCACAATCGATGAACATACAATCTTCCCAACCGACAGACTTATGTCTCAGGATGAGACGACAAATCAGTCGCGAGCAAATGCCGCGTACGCGTGTAACGGAGCAGAACGGCCCTATAAAATGACTAATGATGTAAGGTGGGTGTAAAGTGAAGCGGCTATTGATTCGTAGACGCATAAATGACACGTCTATCGGCTACCGAGGCCACCAGTCATGCTGAGGTTTCAACTCTTAGCATGGTGAACCCCCAAATCTCCTCACTCAACGACCCGGTAGCTATAGAGACGATGATAAACGGTCCATAGTAGCTGTGGAAGCTGCGGTTTACAATTACCTAGTAATATCTTCTTGCTTCCAAACCGCATAAGAAGGAAGAGAGAGTGATATTAGCAATCCGTTAATTTTTAATCAACAGCAGTATTATTGCAATAAGAGATCCAACTGCGAAATACCTATCGCATGTGTCACGACTATGTTAGATGTTAAAAGACAGGTTAATCGAACAAATTATTAGAATAATGACGATGCCTCTATGAATTATTAATAAGCAAATATGAATAGCGAATTGCGTCGACTGTCACGTCATGATCATTAATTCTTTCAATACATATACGAGATAATTAAATAAAATTTAATTCCGCGAAAGACCAAGAGTAAAAGAAAAAAAAGAAATGAATGACGCGTAATGATAGAAAAGGTGTTTACTTCTGGTTTGACGTGGAATCCAATCAACGTCTCCATTGCGACTTGACCTTACGAGAATTGGGTCGAGGATCCACTTGGAAGATTAATGTTTAGTCTGATTAGTCTCAGGATCTCTCCGAGACCGGCACCTTCAACCATTAACCGATTCGTGATCTTTGTTCATCGCTTGCGAAGCAATTACAAAATCAAAATTCCTATTCCTCTTTTTATATTTTATCCTATATAAATTTACTATTACAGATATATTAATTATTAGCAATAATATTATTGAATCAAACGTAATATGCAATCATTTTACAAATTTCATAAGAATAAAATGTAAAAGTTTAAAAATATTAAAGAAAAATATATCAAAATAACTTATTAAATAATATATTTTCGTGTATTTTTGTTATAAAATATGGTATATACAATATGCACACTTATGATATTAGATTTTAAAATTGCAGTGACAATAAAATAATTACATAATCAATATTTTAGACAAA